ATGTGGTGTCCCATATTTTTTTTTCGAGGAGAGAATCTTTTGTTTGATGTATTATCGTATTGTTCCAAATAGTTAACTCTCGTAGTTGTGTTTTTTTCTGTTACTGAGTTGTTACAGTGAAACCATCCAAACAGACTCAACAGTTCCAACCGATTTCTGTCTTTTATGAAAGTGCGTATTTTTAGAGAATATAATTATCGATACTAGTGTTCAATATGAAATACTAATGTCCATTTACATACTCAGAAATGCTTTGTCCTTTTGATGTAGTCCCCATGAAAACGTTACCGTATTTATTATTAAAATAAACGCTGCGTTGCTGCAATTATTCCGGAGCGCTGCGGAGTACCATTATTAATATAACAGATCTGTTAGAAATGAAATTATTCTGATTGTAAGAAATACGTCGCTTCATTTTGCTTAATATCAGTTTTATACTTGAGTATTTGTCTAATTTTTGTATACATTGTGTCAGCTAATTATTCCTCTTCAGAATATTTTCTTTCCAAAGTTATGCTTTCCTCCATGTTTTTATATATAGGATGTACCGACAAAAGGGCCGGACTTAATATGAACGAAAAATACTTTATTTTTAGAAAATATAAAGCATGTGTGCTCATTAAACAAAGGAAAATGTTCCGATTTAAGAATGTCGTGTTTGGTTTGACTTGGCAGCACTCATTGTATTACTATCCGTTCATGTCGCAGATTCGTTGCAGCTTAGTCGACATGGAGCGTTAAGCAAAGAAACAGCAAGTTTTGATTGTCAAAAATCATTAGAAGAATGGCAAACGTTATACACAGGTTGTTAGGAAATTTCGTGGAATCACCGGACTTGAAATCTCACCTAATGAAACAACAGCTCGCAAACTGATAAAGAAATTTGAGGACCCAAGTTCGACAGCAAGCATTAAATCGCTAAGCTGTCGATTTAGCCGTTCTGTTGAAAACTTCTTTTTTGTGAATGACAGCGTTATTGGAATTTTAAAAAAATATATGAATTTAGAATCGTTCATCGAAAAAGTGCGGTGCTGCAGAGCAACTTGTAGAGGACATATGCCAGACATTATTTTCTTTTGAACATTATTTATGTCGGAACATGTACCTGTTGTAAATATGTAAAAATGTTTTCCATTTTTTAAAAATAAAACATTTTAATGGGCATCTTAAATCCAGCGTTTTTATTGAAACAGCCTTCATTTTCGCAAAGTGATGCATTAAAAGTTTATCAAGTAATTTAGTTCCATTGCCCATCTTCCAAGTACGAAATGCTGTTGGAAAAAAAAGTTTAGAACTTCTTTCTCAAATCTGTCTTTTTGTAGATTCCGCTAATTATTTAAATCGCATATTCAGAAAGTGCGATTTGATTATTATCAATATTTCCAATCACACTAAATTCTCATGCTGATATGGTTTTGTTTATTTGATTATGACATAGCTCTCGAGGATTATATGCCTTAAGGGAAGGATACCTTTCTGGATGACCTTCTAAGAAAAACTGGCTCGTTACAATTGTGGAAAACCACGAAAAAGCCCGTGCAGCCGGCCTGTTTGCCGGGATTCAAACTCCGTGCCGAACTACCAATGTTTGTCGCGTTATTAATCGCTCGGCAGCTGGTAGGCCATGACCATACGAAGAGACACTAACATGATTCAAACACCTTTTATAAATAACGTTCGAGAATGTACGGCATTTTCCGAAACATTCTGAAGCGAGATACGGTACTGAAGTGCATGGCTGTCCAGCTCAATTTGGGATACCTAATCGCTTATGGGCATTAATATTTTTGAGAATTTCTGATTATTAACATACAACTTTGATGCAACTTATGTAAGTATTTTCAATCTTTTCAAAGCTAATTTAATTCTGACGAAAAAGAAATGATATTCTTTCAACAAAACGCTTATCATTTTTAGCAAAAACGAGGTTAAATTATATTGCTTTCCAAAAATGAAAACAGGTTTTATTATTCACCGTACGTGTGTCGTTTAACTCATCCGAAGTATTGTAACATGTAAATTTATTACGTAAGATTTATGATTTAGTAATAACAGGAAATAATGTTTCAAATTAAATTTTGTAAATTTGATAAGTATATTAATAACCCTGATTTGTCACGTCTCGTATACTGTTATCGCCGAGTAAAACTTCCGGTAGGCGAACGCAGGGAATAACTTCATGTTACCATTGTAATACTTGGTTGCTCGCCAAGTTCGTTTGTTTAGATAAATATGGGAGGAATTTTATCATCCGAAGCAAAGACAATCAATCAATCAATCATGCTATGGGATTCAACAAAATATTCATGTGACGGCACAGCTTGATGTGCTCTTGTATTAGTGAAAATCGTCGTCGTTAACAAATATTCTAGTTGCCGCATTTTGTTTGTAATGAATACGACGAGAATAGAATCACCGCCGTGACTTCCGATTGGTATAAATCATTACTGTATGAATTTATTCCAACTATGCACATCAGAGCGGTATAAAATCTATTCTCATTCGCAACAATACATGACCACACAAAGAATGGCTTGTTTGGGAGTTCACAGAGAAGAATGGACGAGCAGAGTTCGGTTATCTTCCATATTCATTACATGCGAAATCATGTGACTTCAATAGTTTCGGCCATTTGAAACTCAAGTTGTTTGACATTTCTCCATGACACCGGTATGATATAAATAACAAACTGAATCTACATTTTATAAGCTTTATTGAAGTAGAGCGGTTTTCTGAATGACAATAAATATAATGCGATTTCCTACGTCACAATTTCGCTGATAAATTGCATAAGCTCTTTGATAGCACTTTATCTATGTCAATATTTCAATAATACGCATTTCATTCTAAATATTTACGAAATTAAGTTACGTGCTATGCTATCCTGTGTGATACACCATAACAATTATTTATTAAAAAAATTATCTGCTTATTTAATTATTTATAAAATTTATAAAACATTTTTAATCTACCTGTATATTTATTTATAAAATTTAAATAAATTACTAGAATACTCGCATTCTCTCATATCGAATTATTTTGAAATTGATCCGTGCCCATCTCATTTAGATAGCTTGTATTTTGTGCTCCAAGTGTTCGATGGGTAGATTGTACAAATCATACAACTTTGATAAATAATACAACTTTGCAAAGATCTTTTTTGAAAACTTATAAGGTGCTTTCCCGACCTTCCAGCATGCCTCCTTGGTGTAACGGTAGCACGCTCGGTACATATTCGAGAGGTCTGGGTTCGAGTCCCTGAGAAGACATTGCTCATTTTTTATGTCTCCTACTTCAAAATAACCTAATGACACTACAAAACTTTTGGATATGTGCTACTAATTAGCTTTATCGTTTTGGAGAATAATTTGCGAAATTATATTTCAACCCCAAATTATGTCTGAAAGGAAGGAAACAACTTTTAAAAGAATTTATTTCTTTGGAGATGAAAATACAAATTTTGAATCATTTGTTAAAAGGAGAAAATATATCTGACGTTGCGAAAAATCTTAATTTAAATGAGGGAACAGCGAGAACCATTAAAAAAATGCTTTATTTTTAAGAACTTCCGGAACGCATTTTGTGTTGGTTGTTAGTCTCTAGAAACACGCTTTTCACGCAACACGGCATTTTCTAGGAACCTCTCTACCGTGTTATAGAAGGGATACCTGTATTTGATAATCTTCATTATATATTGATCGCTTTTGTTAATTAATAATTATATACCATAAAAAGTCTTTTAGTGAAATTGTGCAATTCATTTAGAATTTGGAAGTCATGAACCGGTATAAATTAGATATTCCCTGATTAATACTCTAATTATAGATATTCCAGCTGTTAGCCGGATGTGCTTCCAGTTACACCACAAAGACTTCTCATTTACTTAAAGAGCGACTGGGGAGAAAGAAACCCAATCGCCAAAACCAGGTGGCCGCGAATTATCGTCACCACCAGGATCTGGCACCTGTTTCACCAACTGTCTTCACCTTACACATTTTATTTCGGGCGCCATTGATAGAGTTTAGTTATTTATCGAAGCGAGAAACATGAAAAGCGTGTAATGCCCTCTTCGGGAACCTTCCCACTGTGAGTCGAACGTTCCAATTACGACCCGAAGACAAGCTGAAAGGAGTAAGAAAACACTTTATATTTTCACCCCGCAACACACACTTAAAAAGCAGCTGGAGAGCAGTAGACCCAGTTGCTAAGTCCTGACAAATTATCGCTACCAACTTTCAGTCAGGCGCAATTGTAGAGTCATTTAAAATTTTTCGAGCAAAAACGGAAAACAATCAGTAGTGCCCTCGCCGGGGTTTGAACCCTTGTTCTTCTGATTGCTAACCGAACATGCTTCCAATTACATTACAACGGCATGTAGTAAGAAGGGACAAAATATTTTACAAATAATTATGTGATAGATTAAGAAATCCGTGTTAGATTAAGATTGGATACGTGATAGATTGATTTGAAATACGTGATAGATTAAGGTTATTTTCTTTTTGAAATTCCATTATTATCTGACCAGTTATACAAATAATTTATGTTAAAGTAGACACAAGTAATCCAAGTAACTTGGTTTTTTTTTTTAAGTAATTAAATAGATAACTTTGCTAGATTACTTTATGAATAAAATAATTTTCTAATTCTAGTATATTTTTATTGATATATATACTTAAGAATTTATCTTCATATTAACGATAAAAATATGTTTTAAAAATTGTTAAACATAATGTATAATCACGATTGCTTTACAAGAAAATATAACTGAAGGGAGTAAACGGGTGTTTCAGCACAGTTTATAGATTATCTGTTTAGTTAGTTAGTATAATAGACTGATTAACATAACAGTTAAGCTACAAAAATTGTTATGTTTCGATGGGAGAATGTCCTTTAAATTGGTAGACACAAAAGTGCATATTTATTTCCCACGCATTTTTCTAACCATTTTCTATTATCTCAAAATATGCAAGGACATTACATGTTCATGTATTAAATTTCAGAAACTGGCGTGGGAGATGCTTGCCGTGGGGATTTCGATGGTGATAAAGTACCTGACCATCTCGACGTGTGTCCAGACAACAGAATGGTTTACGCTACAGATTTCAGAGCTTATCAGACAGTAGTTCTGGATCCTGAAGGTGACTCGCAAATCGATCCACATTGGGTCATTTATAATAAGGTATTTTTTCCTCACTTATTTCTAAATTCTTTTCATTTTATTATAATCTACCAAACACCACATCGTTGTTAACTAAAACGAAAATATTTAAAATATGTATATATGAGGTTCCATACAAATCCTCAGGGGAAGCGGTGAAATCAGAATTTAAAGTTCGGAAGATATTTTGAGATTTATGCGGATCAAAAAACTAAACATCTAAATTAATTAACTGAATATTTTTTTTTCATTCTGTTATTATTGTTGCCTCAAATAATAATATGTAGGTAAATATTCATGAGTAAAATTATAATGAAATGATGATTTTCTTTACATTTTACATATAAACTATAAGTAACATTAAGAGGTTTTAATTCTTTAAGTGACTTTTACATTCAGTGACTTTTACGACAAATGATTTTTTTAGACGATTTAAAAAAATAAAGATTCGCCAGTTTACGAATTTAAAAAAAAGTTAAATTTATCTGAATGGCAAAATAAGAAGAAATTTTTCAGATTATTGTATGTAAGATAATTTACAGTCGGTCACTTAAAAGGTCACAGACACTTAAAAGGTCTTTCTAGCCCTCTCCCAAATGCCGTCGTAACTCCTGTCGTCATTACCGCACAGGGCTTATTTCCTCCACCTCATTTGACATTAGTTCTTTTCAGCCGTTATTGGTGAACGCTTTAAACGGAAATAAAGCGGAAGAACAAAATTAGAGGCTTAACCATCTTATGCAACTATCGTTACTATAGTTATAAGGAAAAAAGAGAGGGCAGAAATAACCTTGAAGTGCCTATTCTAAAGTAATAGATTATAGTAAATGTTAAGAAACGTCTAAATGGAATTGTTGATGTTATCAAGTGTGAAATTATTTATTTTGCAGAACCTGTAGATTTTCATTTCAAGAACCGCTATCAATTGAAGTAATAATACAGTATGGAAAGAAACACATAGACGAACAGCCCTCTTCGGTAGAAATTAAACGAAAAGAAAAACCGTAATTGAAAAAAATTACAGCTTCTTTAACGAATTACAAATACGTCCAATAATCAACATGTATGCTGCTTTATTTTTAAATAAAAATTCGGAATAAAATGTTCTTTCCACAAGCTCCCTTTTCTGACGTCTTTTTTGCTCAAAAATATTCGTATTCCATTGTTTAGTTTCTAAACTAAAACTGCGAGAAATGATGGGACTATATTCTTCGGTGAATGCACACGCTTTTGAGCATATCAAGTGTTCTCAACTTAGATTGATCGCTCGTATAGTTATGCATATAAACATATATATACGTTGTAACAATGGATGCGCACTCATGGTGTTGATTCCGGTTTTGCGTACAAAATCGGATAGGAAAGAAAATGCCGTTGCACAGGATTTCTTAACAGGCTGGGATTAAGCAATTAGAAGCGCCGCGTTCGGTCCTTGTTGTCATGTTGGCTTGCCGCCTTTGTCCACCCCTGTTGTAAAGGTTTCAGTATGTATGTATGTATATATATATATAAGATGTGTTTAATTAAAATACTAACTTTAATTCGTGATAGCCCATTACGTCTTTTGTTTAATTTTATGGTTTGCCCTTTGCATCTTAAAAGTAATGATATAGTTGTAATAAATCTTTAAAAACTGCAACATTTCAAAATTAATTTTTTTCGTATTATTCTTCTTGAACGACGACCATAACGCATGTACTTGCGTAACACTTCATCCAATAATAACATTAAAATTTGCAAACTAAAACTTAATTAAGATTATATGTAAAAGAATAAAGTGAAATCCAGTATGTATTCATCTTAACAAAACCTTCATATTGCAATCCACAGATTTCTTCTCATGCTTGCTGCCCAGCTAATATATTGCCACTTATCGTTCCTTCATCAAATATAATTTTATAAAAATGTAAAGATGGCTCTGATCCAAAACGGAAGTGCAGATTAAATATATATATATATATATATATATATGTAATATTTTGGCAATCGGGCACATGAATGAAGCTTGGAAGAAATGATGACACAGAAGAAGTTAACTTTATATCTCCATCTCTTTATTCAATTGAAAGGCATTTTAGCACTCTTTACTAAATAAAATTAAACTTCACTGTGTCATAATTCGAATAAAGAAAGGGAAAAGGGCTGCAGCAGATGGTGAAAGTGATCTCTCTATTTATAAAAGTGGTTACGTAATAAGCTCGAATGTTCTGGAAAGTACTGGTCTAGGGGAAGATCCTGAAATTGAGGAAAGTTAATAAGAAGTTGCTTGTTCGCATAGAGCAAAGCCATCGTATTTTTTTAATATTTTACATATATATATGTATTATAAGGCAAACTGGTACTTTTCCGTTTTGCCAACGCAGGCGATAAAATCGCCAGTAATGGTACAACTGATGCCAAACGGAATATCCTCGCTGGTAACCTTTTACGCCTCATTTCGCAGCCATTTCATATCATATTGATTGTTTCTTTCAATACTGGTATAAAATTCCATAGAATTTGTACCAGATAGTTCAATTTTATGCCCTAAGGACATTCGCGGTAATTAAATCAATTAGGATGCAATTAATCATACGGCTCACTTGAAGGCGAAAATACAGAAAAGGCAAGGTTAAGGGTTAAATTCATCAATTCTAATGAGAATGCTCTAGCGAAGTAACTTGGGGTCACGTGATATGAACCAGCGAATCAGGATATTGAACCATAAAAGCATAGTAAATTCTTAAATTGATGTCTTTTTACAAATTTATTGTGTTTATTTATTGGCTTTTTACAAAATTTTAAACGATATTAAAATGAAAAAAAAATAAAATTCAAAATAAAAAATTCTTAGAATTAACATTTGTTAACATTTTTTATGTGTATACTGTGTGTTGTCGCCAATAAAGTCTGCTTGGCGAGATTTGCGCTGCCGAAACGGAAAAGTACCGGCAAACTTCATGAAAGGCATAAAAATGTCGAAACCAAAAATGAAAAAAAAATAATTACATCTTTTGACTGCATCGTTATCAGGGGTTGGTGCAATGAAACATTAGCCAGTTTTTGAACCAACAAGTGACACAAATGAAAGTTAAATACTTCAAATAATCAGAAAATTAATCAAAGTAATATGTGTCTTTATCACTGCTATCTTTACAGGCAGTAGTAAGTAGTGCAAAAAATTGAGGTATAATTTTGCAAAAAATGGCAAAATTTCAGCATCAAAAATACAAGCAATTTAACACATAAAGACAGATAATAACACCTGATAATTTGAAACCATACAGGCCAAAGTAATTTTTTTTGCAAAATTATAGCTTTAAAATCAGAAACAAGAAAAAAAAAAAAAAAAAAAAAAAGCTTAAAAATGTAATCAAAGTTATTCTGTATTTATGCAGGCCGAATCCGAAAAACAAAACATATTAACAGAAGCAATCAAGCATAGGAAAAAATAATAACAAATAAAAATTTGATACAAAAAACATAAACTAAGAGTAAAAAGAAGCGTAAGCTCTTAAAATTTGTAACATCAAAAGCAACAAACGTTTTCAAATGCAAAATATTAATAATTCAGAATGTCCATTATTAACCTAACATGTGCTAAGCAATCAAATAAGATTAATTACATATTTTAAATTGATTCATAATAATAATAATAATAATAATTAGAAAAAATCTTTGAATGTAACTTTAAATATGGCGTAGTAAAAATAAATAATTTTTAAAAATATTTTAAATTATTAATAATAAGAAGAATAATTTAAATTGATTAATAATAATAATAATTAGAAAAATCTTTGAATGTAACTTTAAATATGACGTAGTAAAAATAAATAATTTGTAAAAGGAAGAATATATGGCAGTGTCTAGTAAACCGTGACCAAAGTTGTGAGCAATCTCAATAAATGCGAATGAGGAATTTAGCAAAAAATTACAAATTATATCAAGAAAAAGGAGGAAAAAATTTTGTCAAATGTTACAGAATATAGAACTCTCTCAAGAGGGCTTTCTTGAGATTTGGAAACAGAAGTTGGCCCGTTTGAGAATAAAAGAGGTAGGTAATTGTTAAACAATCTAATCTAAATTGAAACTAATGTAAGCATTTTTACAAGAATGTCAATTGTGTTAAGAACATCCAACCTATACAAACCCTAATGATGTAGGTGTAGGATATCATAAAAAGCTGAAAATTGGTGGTGAAAATAGTTTTTAGATGACAACTGGAGTTTAGCTGGTTTTTGATGAAATTAAATGGAAATCTTTTAGCATTTTAACTAATAAGTTGTTTTATTTTAAAATTGAAAAGTCTTCTTTTATTAAATAAGGTAATGTTGTTGGGATTGTAAATTTGTAAGTCAAGATTATGTGCTTTCGGTGTCATGTTTGTTAGTTTTATTAAATTTGAGACATTTAGAATAGATATCTTGCTTTTAATTTCTTTATAATTATTAATGGCAATAATGCCATCCATATACTACTAGGTAAATTTAAAAAGTTCTGGTTTATACTAATTTTCTGGTTTATGGTTATAATATATTACTTAACAAAAAGGAAATCTTACACATGGCAATTGAATAGTTGGTACCCATAGGAATACACTGCAGTTTATAGAAAAATTTTATTTTGATATAAAATAAAATTCTGAAATTGTGTATATTTAAGATAAGAATCCCATTTATCAAAATCAATTAAATTTTCAATGGTGGAAAATAGTTGATAGAGCTCAGTTAAACTAACGTCAATTTCATTAAGTTTCATCAAGGTGGTGCATAAGTTTTCAAAATCATAGCATTTAAGACTATAAATTTGTTCTTTGATTTTAATAACATAATGATTATTACTGATAATTCAGTTGTTATGTAATTTAATATTAGTTTGGTTTTGGATCTCAATAGAAACATTTTTGAGAGTAATATCACTCTGCTTTTCGTAATTATTTACCCCATTAGCTATAAATCTGTATTTGATTGAATTCTTAAATTTTGGAAAAGTTTACACATTGCAGAATTTATTATAGTGAGGTTTACTGGTAATCTTAATTTTTTGTGGAAATGCTTTAAATCTATTGTTAAGTGTGCTTTCTTGACCTTTTAGAGATCTGGTAAGTAATCTTGTTTAGTTTACTGCCGATAATTTCTTGATAGAATGTTTTTCAAATAATACAAAAACTGTTTTTGGCTTTGTTAAATAATGGTAATAATAAACTGGTTTTTAAATTGTTCTATATTTTTCACAAGCTCCTTGCAGCTAAAACTGGTGCTATTTATATTATTGAACTGAAGTTTATTAATATTACTTTTAATGCTATTGTAAACATGATGTTTCCATTTTTTAAAGCTTTAAGCAGATAGCTGTATTTGTAGCTGGTGGTAATAATAAATTGATCAAATTTGTATTAAATCTTTCCAAGACAAGTATTTGTAGCACTGTAGATAATTCCAAACTCGGTGCAAAATTTCATGATTTTCTTCAGCTGTTGGTTTTAAACTTTTTAATTTATTATAATTTATTTTTTGCATTATTACCACCGCTAGTTGTTGCTTTCAGCACGCAATTGTATAAGCTTTTGAACTGTTGCTTTTTACTTTGTTTATTCATTTATGTTATGTATGAAATTTTGTATACATATATACACACATGTGTATATATATATATGTCATAATAAGAGCAAGGGCAAAAAGACGGAGCAGTGTAGATGCGTGATTAGATCCGTATTGAAGAAGAATTTTGATTGAGTAGTACTTAAAGAACTTGGCAGTCGAGGCAGTTTTAATTCCATTTTTATTTCCAATTGATATTTGTGGCCACAATCACTTGGCACTCTAGTCGTGCCTCTCCACAGAAGATTTACATTTTTGATATTGTTGGGATAGAAAGGAAGCCAGCGAAATTACATCTTAGCACAGTAGAGAGCAAAAGCTGAAGTGCGTCGTTATGAAAGATGGAAGCACGCGAAGAGAAAAGTTTTGGTTTACAATTCGGTGATTGGTCGTCAAGAGGCATCTGGTAATAACGGTTACGTAAGATCGCATGATTAATTTGAATGACGCAATGCAGATAAGTTATTACGATTTTAGAATAGAGAGGAAGAATTAATGTTTATAGTTATATTATAATTCTGATTCATACATTGTTATCTTACATATTTCCCCCCTTCAAAAAGAAAAAGGCGTAGCGACAGAGAAGCCTTTTTATAGAGAAAGAGCTAAAACACTAGCAAATGTAAAAAAAATAAAAATAAATAAATCATAAAATTTTTGTTCTGTAAAGTATAATTTATAAATATCAATTTTTTTTAAATAAATTTTTAATTTTTAAAGTCCTATTGAATTTTTCAGCATTTCAGTCCAAAAGTCTTTTTGTTTGAGAGTTCACATAATCATAATTCTTCAGGGAAGGTTCTTGTTATTACAGAATATCACAAAATAAACTTTTACACAATCATAGCTTATAATAAAATGTAATGCACATAAATATTTATGATACTTATTTCCATACTGATAAATTATAATTTAACATCATAAATAATAGGATTAAAATTTTCAGAATTTATGGTTTCACCGTTATCATCTTTCATTTACAATTCCTGATTTTACCAAACTGGAAGCCTCGCAATACTTCTAAACAAACATATTCATCAATAGGGCTGTCCTCTTGAGCTAACCAGTGTGTTCTCTGCACTGGTGGCCCAGGGTGCCTAGGCAGGTACTTGAAAGGCTCCGTCGTTCCTTGCATTAAGGTAACTGGCCTTTGAGAACTGCACTAATACATTCCATAATAAAAAAAAAATATAATAATAATATAAAAAATTTACATGCATTCATAAAATGAGAGCCTCCAACATTATCTTGCATGAAGAGGGTAAAAGGAACAACTGTACAGAGGTAATTACAGGCCTCTGTTTGAAGGAACCAGTACACCCTCATCATACTATACTTAACACACAATAACCCATAAATTTTCAACATGCATTTACCATAATTTCATATTACGACGTATCTGTAATAATTTCACTTATTTTTTACAACCTACTTCATTTTTAGAATAATTATAAAATTCGTATTCAAAATTCTCAACAAAATTTCAAAAACATAAAAACTTATCTTAATATCCTTCCCTATGAATAATTTAAATAGCTTAAAATTCGTTACTTAATTTGCTCACACATAATTATGAAATATTAGAAAAATTAATGAACAAGAATTTCAGATTTTCTCAAAACAAATTGCAGAAATTTTAACCAATGTTGAAATGAAAACTATAGAATTCGCAGCACATTAAATAATTTAGTTCCTGAACTAGGTTCACAGGAATGTAATAATTTTTGAGCTGTTGAAAAAGCAGAAGTGCAAATAATTTTCTGTCGCACATACTTGCAAACACTAACTCAGATCGATCTTGAACCCGCTGTAATCACTAAATTATTTAATGTGCTGCGAATTCTATAGTTTTCATTTCAACATTGGTTAAAATTTCTGCAATTTGTTTTGAGAAAATCTGAAATTCTTGTCCATTAATTTTTCTAATATTTCATAATTATGTGTGAGCAAATTAAGTAACGAATTTTAAGCTATTTAAATTATTCATAGGGAAGGATATTAAGATAAGTTTTTATGTTTTTGAAATTTTGTTGAGAATTTTGAATACGAATTTTATAATTATTCCTAAACGGTAATTCACTGATGATTTCCTTTTCACTAGGCATTCGAACTTCTCAATTTATCGAGAGATTACTTTCAATCTGTAAACACTACGCGTGATTATTTTTTTGAAGCACTTGCAAAACACCACAGCAGAAGAATGATCTGTTATTTTTTAAACACTGAAAAAACAAACTTTATGATTCACTTCTTTCACATTATCTTGGATTTATCACAAAACGATGATTTAAAGAGCTGAATTAAATTTTCCATTGAGGTTTCAGGCTGCAGGAAACTATCCTGCCGGCTTAATTGTTATAATAAGAGCAAAGGAAAAAAGACGGAGCAGTGTAGATGCGTGATTAGATCCATATTGAAGAAGAATTTTGATTGCGTAGTATTTAAAGAACTTGGCAGTCGAGGCAGTTTTAATTCCATTTTTATTTCCAATTGATATTTGTGGCCACAATCACTTGGCACTCTAGTCGTGCCTTTCCACAGAAGATTTACATTTTTGATATTGTTGGGATAGAAAGCAAGCCAGCGAAATTACATCTTAGCACAGTAGAGAGCAAAAGCTGAAGTGCGTCGTTATGAAAGATGGAAGCACGCGAAGAGAAAAGTTTTGGTTTACAATTCGGTGATTGGTCGTCAAGAGGCATCTGGTATTAACGGTTACGTAAGATCGCATGATTAATTTGAATGACGCAATGCAGATAAGTTATTACGATTTTAGAATAGAGAGGAAGAATTAATGTTTTATTATAATGTTATTTATAGTTATATTATAATTCTGATTCATACATTGTTATCTTACATATATATATATACATGTGTATATATATGTATACAAAATATATATATACACATGTGTACACATATAGAGAAAGATTAATGGGTGTCGTTAATCAGAAAATAGTTTTCTGAGCTTCCTGATTGAACAAAATTCGAAGACCACTAACTAAAGACAGTGGGGGGGGGAAACATTCATTTTTAAATGATGATGAAATGGTGAAAATTCTCTATTTAATTTCAAGAACTTTCTGAATTATACAAAACAGTCATTTTGGTATATTTCATGCAGAGAATTTTCCCATGATGCTCATTGTTTACGTCCCTTTTTTAGGGTGCAGAGATAGTTCAGACAATGAATAGTGATCCAGGACTTGCTGTTGGTAAGTATAATATGATTTTTTTTAGTTTCATTTGTTGAATATTATATTATGCTTCGAGTTAATTTTAAAAGTAATCTACAATACTATAATGAGCTGTGTCGAATTCTTTAAATTATATTATTACAATTCATAAAGCGTTTTGAGTCATTTTCACATAAATACCTAAAAATCCACCAGTAGCCAAGTGAAAAGGAGTTTCGTAGTTTTCTTGATATGTAAGGCCTATACCAGCCAGGGTTTCTTAAAAAAACCTTGGCGGCGGCCTCGCTTAAGCAGACTGTGAAAAATAAATCACAAAAATCTTGGAAGAGTTAGTTTAAAATTTAGTACTTAATATTGATATTTCTTTATTTTCTCAGCTATTTATTAATATGAAATTTGTTACAACCAAATCACAAAGAATTTTTAACATATAGATTTAATCACTGGGTGTTCGAGAAGTCATTTTTATTAGCCCAGCAATTTCAAACTGATCTGCGTACTCTGCAACTTCGCAGTTGCTCACTGGCATTTTGCAGCAATATAATGATCTTGCCTATTTTCTGCTCTATTGATTTTGACATTATGCGAATTCTTACATCGGAACTGAAGCGAGAGCACTTAATAACGGTGCCGCCTCATAAATATGTCACTTTCGGGTACGTCGACCCCTGTACGAAAATATAAGCAGTCATAAAGATACCCGACCAAAATTACCCGCACACTTACGCAATTTGTTAAAAAAAGCAAATTTTGATTTCAATTTTCATGTTTTTAACCTCAATTTCATGTCAAATTTAACTAGAAAAAAGCAAACTCCGTTAAATTGCGAGCATCTTTATGTTGGGGCACTGCTAGGCAAACAGAATTTTTATTTGCTTTGATAATCAGAGTAATAAATTTAGACACTACCTGCAAAGCGATGGCGCAGAATAGACTTTACACGTACCTTTATTGCTTTTTGCAAGTTAGAAACCGATCTACGTAAGGACGCCAGCACCTTTATGCCGGGCACCCTTATGAAAAGAAGAAGTTGCCCAAATAAGCTGGTGCCGTTACGAAATAACCCGAAATAAAGGAAATCGCGCCTCTCAGAGCATAATCTTCATTTAATCTGTACAAATAAATTCGTTTCAGTTGCTTTTGGAAATAATACATAAAAATATCCTAATCTGATTGTGATATTCCCTGTTTTTAGGAATGAAGAGGATAAAATGCAATGTAACTAAACTACAAAAAAAAAAAAAAAAAAAAAAAAAAAAAAAAAAAAAAAAAAGCAATAACCAGTGATAAATACACTGTCCCAACTGTTTCTTCATTAATGATAGAATACCAGAGGCAGATCCCGTATGATAATAATACATAATTTTTATAACTAGTTTATAAAGAAAGCTCCAAACTAATGTTTATACTTTTTGAACGTTAATACCGAGGAAATTATTAACGATGACATGGCTTGACATCCTGTGTTTGAAATTTCAGTTGCTACATTAATTTTTGTATGCGCGCATATGAGCATTCTGTTGTTCTCAGGTCTGTCACAACCTACCAGGATGCATACATCAGAGTACTTGTTTTGTGCAAACATACTCGTGAGCTGTCTGAATCCTTTAACGAAACAGTCAGTTTCAGCGGACTGCGAAAGAATATCCTTCTCGTTTCTTCAAAACAGAACTGTTTTATATGCAGTGGAGAGTATCTGCTTCAAAGAGAGACTTTCCACACGCCGTCTGACGTTTTTGTTATGGAACTTTTGGAAATATATGGGAAATTTCCCATGTATTGATGGCTGATTGTGAATGAAATAGTCTGTACTTATACATTTGAGATTAATTTTTGGAAAATTTTGTTAGGTGAAAGGAAATATTTTTAAATCTTGATACTGTTAAAGTATGAAGCTTCGAACTTTGTCGAAATCTATATAAAAACGAGCAATCGCTATGGAGAGTTGCTGGACACGATTAAGAAATAAAGCCTTAATCTCTTCTCTACCCCGAAGCAGGTGTGTTGTTTTCATTTTTTACTTACAAAAGTCTGCACTGGAAAAGTGATGGATGACAAGAATAGGAACAGTTTAGTAGTAGTTCTTAAGACCCAAAGATTGGCATCACTTTATAAGGTATTTCACCCACCTTCTTAGCATGCCTTCGTGATGTAGTGATCACCCCCCTCGACGCGTATTCGAGAGGTCCGTGGTTCGAGTCCCGGCGAGGGCATTGCTCATTTTTCATGTCTCCTGCTTCGAAATAGCGTAATGTAACAGCTTATCCATTTGTTTCGGACAAACAGCTCTTTCAAATAATTTTTCTGCTTGCTTATTTGCTAAACAATTTTTATACTGGAAAAAGGAAGTACAATTTTTTCCTTCCTTTCGCAAAAAAAAAAAAAAAAAAAAAAAAAAAAAAAAAAAACCTATTTACAAAAAAACAATATTACATTGTTCGTATGATTGTTAATACATTGTATGTCTCCCAGACAATGCAATACAGTCCGTACAACGCCTAGGCATGCTGAGTATCAAATTATCGATCTGATCTTGGTGGATATTACACCACTCAAAAAGCAATGCTCTCCGAAGTTCCGGTAGACATGTAGGAGGAGGTTGACGGGCTGCAACTCGTCGGCCAAGCATATCCCACACGTGCTCTACTGGATTCAAGTCCGGTGAGAATGCTGGCCAGTCCATACGGATGATATCCTCCGATTGAAGGCATTCGCTTACGATGTTTGCATGGTGAGGACGGGCGTTGTCATCCATAGACACAAATTGTGGGCCCATGGCGCCCGAAACAGACGTACATGTTGTTACAGAATGACGTCCCGATAGATTTGGCTTGTCATGGTTCCAATTTGTACATGCAGGTCAGTTCTGGAACCCAGAATAATTCCACCTCAAACGAGCACTCCTGCAGCACCGTAACGGTGTCGTTCAATGATGTTTTCTTGTGGTAACGAGTAGCTGGAGCTCTCCATATGAACGTCCAGCGAGAATCAGACTGCAAGCTAAACCTGGACTCATAGGAAAACGTTACACAAGCCCACTGTTGCCGTGTCCACAGTTAAAAGACCCATTAATTACACCTATCTAAACAGCTATCATGCTCTCTACTCCAGGCTAACCTTAGGCGACAGTGAGTTGCAGTAAGCGGAACGCGTCTGACAGGTCTACGAGCATATAGACCAATCTGCCCTAAGCGTCTGTACATGGTCTGCCTTGAAATTATCGTACCAGTGGCTGAAGAGGGCTGACGAGACAGGTCTGAGGCTGTGCTCCGCCTGTTTCTTTTGGCAGTAACTGCCAAATACCGGTCCTCATTCGGCATTGTAACTCTGGGGCGACCTGTGCTGTAACGTCTACTCACATTACCATCATCTTGGAATCGTTGCCAAAGCCTGGAGATGACACTCTGGGCAATTCCAAGTTCGTCTGATACTTCCAGTTGGGTACGCCCACATTCCAGACGGCCGATAATTCTACCACGTAAAAAATCATCCAAATGCGTCCTTTGTGTCATAACTATTCGGTTATTGCACTGAAATGCTTATAAAGCGCCTGCGAACAATTTTACTTCTTTGCCTGTATTCCTTATATATCACTCTCTAACACTCTCGTCATTGTCACGTACCATCGGTGTCATCTGGTTACTTCCTGAAATTTGCATATGATTCTTGAAGATGTGTGTAGTGATTTTACAGGTGATATATTTATTTTAGAGTTCGATTTCCGCGTGATTCCGAATTGTCCTTAATTTATGGACATGAGTGTAATTTAAAGCAATTCAAAACCATCAACACGTCAACAAAGAACAACGTAGGTTTCCGCATAAACTTGTATATGGATAAAATACACAGCACACACAATTCACAGCAATTTACAAAGCGTGCATGAATTCTACATCTGCCGCCAATCGACGAAGGTTGGCGTGCTGAAAATATGTGTACTGCGCGTGCGTGAAGCGTAAGGCCCGCAGAATGGTGACGCTACTCTCTCTTAAGCTATTATTACGCTCGGCCGTACTTTAGGCCCTTGATAGCATCGCCGTTATTTAGCGTTAAGGGGCGAACTCTGTTAGAATCTTGATAGCTTTGGCTGTATCTTTTTATTTTAGTTAAGTTTTAGTTCCTAGTTTTCTGAGTTCAAGCCTGAGTGGAGGCTTTATTGTAAAACTCCAAGAAGAAGTTTTGTGAACTTAATTTGGAATAATATAGTGTATTTAACCCTTCCCAAGTTTTATTTTCTGTCTCACGAACTTAAGCGATTATTCGCTTACCAGTTCTTAAGATTCTTCAACTTTAACTGTAACTTAAAAGTACACAAGTTAGAATATTACAGTATAATCATGATATATAAATTTTAATAATTAATTTTTTACTAACTTTTATGACTTTACCATATAATATAGATAATACATTTTTCCCCTAATTTTTGCTTCGTAATTAACGATTTGTAATTTTTCGTACTGCTTACTGTATTCACTTAACAAAGTTTTATTTAGCATGCATGAAGAGATGGTTTAATTAATTGATTTAAACAGTACATAAAAAACGAAAAGAAAAGAAACAGACACTGAAGTTGACATATGTAGCTAAAGCAGCGGGACACTGGTAATTCATCCTAGATTTGTTTTCAATTGGCTGAGCTAGTTGGTTTCATGGGGCCTTCATGCGTAGCACGAGATATTAGTCAAATTGCCTAGAATTTCATCCACAAAGGCATCCATCCTGCCTAAACATATTTCCAGTGCGTCGTCTGGAAACTACTTAATAGGTCGTTTTAATATGTAATGCTAAAAATTGCATATATTTATCCTATTTTGCATACGTAACTATAGAGTACACCTACAAAAGATCCGGACTTAATAATGCCCAATAAAGTATTTTATTTTTTGAAAATGAAGAACATTTGAACATATTTATAACAGCTAAATGTTTTTATATAAGAATGTAAAATATTAATTGGCATATTTCTTCTACGACTTGCTTTGCTACACAGCATTCTCTCGATGAAATTCGCAATCACGTTTTTACGTTCCTGCCTATAGGGTGGCTAATGGCCAGTAAAAGTAGCAAAACAATAACCTTGAGTTTGGCGTTGATTTAGCTAAGAACTCAATCGATTTCGAGGGAAAACAAGTACAAGTCCCTCTTCATCAGGAGCGAAGAAATCTGCAAGATTGATGCTTAAAGATTTCAGACATGATTCTTGAAGATTTGAGGAATCTGCAAGACTGATTCTTATAGACAGATTCTTACTTCATCAGGTGTAAAGAAATCTGCAAGTCCCAGTTTGGGAGATTTCTTTGCTCCCCTAAAGAAGGACCTGTACCTATTTGCCCTCAAAATCGATTGACTAAATCTACGTCAAATGTGAGGTTTTTACTTTTCTAATATTATGTTTCACTTTGGAGTGTTTCTATTAAGTTTTGGTTATTCGATACGTTCAATTTCCTCTTTAAGTTTTTTTGCTGTTTCTCTTTTAAATTCAGATTCTTTGGGACCTGCAATAACGTAGAATAGCTATATTTTCAGCGATATTCGAGAGCGTGGTGATTTAATATCTACTGTCAAATCTGTGTCCTCAGATTTCTTTATTAATTTACAATTTTTTTTTTTCATTTGCTTTCTTTCACTTCCAAAGTTTTCACGAAGTTCCTTAACATGTGCATAACATTCTAGCGATGCATTTTCGTAATCAAAACTCGCTGTTCATTTGTGTAGCGCTCCATACCGATAAACTTGCAACGAAGGTGCGAAATTAAACAAACCGTGGTTAAATGCAAGTGTTTCCAGTTAAATCAAGCGCAACGTTCTTTAATGGAAAAGTTTTACCTGTTCTCAGTATGCAAAAATGTTTTCTATTTTTTAAAAATAAAGCCCTTTTTTTGACATATTAAATCCATAGCTTTTGTTGGGACATCTTTCACCTGAATAAAACTACCTTTAAATTCTCCAGTTTCTTTTCCGATTATTTTCTTCATATCATTGGATATTTGGATATTAATAAATGAAACACCGTACCACAGCAGCTATAAAAATACTATACATATATATATAATTGTATTGTTTGTTAAATTACAGAAACTTAAAAACACACAATCTGATAAAAAATTTCTATTTGCGCGATCAGACGGTAAGTTTGACCAATTGTTTTTACGGTACTGTTTTAACTAATTGTTGAATTTTAATGTTACCAGATATCAATCTCAAAATGTTTATTTTCCTTTGTTCTCCCTTTTCGAAATCTAGGTTTTCACGCTTTTGGTGGAGTTGATTTCGAAGGAACATTTTTCGTAGACACTGAAATCGATGACGATTACGTGGGATTTATTTTCAGGTAAATCTCTTGAGTATTTAAATGAGTATTTGGAGTGAAAAGAAATCTGTTAAAAAAATTTTTTAATTACCTTTTTTTATTTTTTTAAAATTTTATTTTTATTTATTTATTTATTTATTTATTTGTAATGCTTTTAGAACAGTAACTATGTGTCAAGAGGTTTGAGTTATTGAATTGGTAAACAAAGATTAATTGGTTTTTAATATCACTGTTTCCTAGTGAAAAGAATTTTACAATACTTTAGTTATTTAGTAATATTGAAAAAAAAAATGTGCTCCGAATTTTGTTTTATATATTCGTAGCACCTGAATTCTCCTTAATGATTTTAACTATTAATCAATGGGAAAAATAATTGTTCACAAGTTAAATCTGAGGAAACTTCTTTTCCCTTTTCCAGGAATGGGGAAGAGGGAGTCTTCCATTTTTTCAAGAGGGGAATTTTTTTTTCAAATAAAGAGAGAAAGGTCTAAGATATTTTATCGTTACTTTCTATTATTTGGTATAAAAAAGGAAATGAATTTACAAGGCAATGTCTCATGCGAAATTTTTGTCTGTAATTAAAGTTTATGATTTTGAAGGTAAACATTTGTGTCTTATTTACGCCCATTATTTATTCACTTACTTTTTATAAAATGAAAAATACTAAGCTATAATGCTGGAAGAATATTTTCTACCATTGTAAGATGCAGGTAAATAACGAAGTCCTTCATAACGCTTACATACATAGTGTTTGAATCTGTGTAATTTAAATAACTTAATCTGTAGTAAACATTTTTCTTATTGCCACCTAATCCTTAAGAAAAAAATCGATGTGGCCAGCACATGACTTCCCGCCAATTCTAACATGAAATAGCTACAAACTTTAAGTAAATGATTAGCTCCGGCTTATCGCTTGTAAATTTAATCTAATTTGGCAATGATATATAATTTGGCAATGATATGGCAATGATATATAATTTGGCAATGATATGGCAATGATAACTACACATGCTCATGTACACATCCATTCTTATGCTTTGATTTGAAACGAAATGGTTGTTAGGAACGTGAAGGATTGCGAATCGCTTGTAGTGCAGATTGGCTGTCTGAGATTATTTGTATATTTCGGAGTGTAATGCATATAAGTCTGCTTGCTTCAAGGCTAAGGCCTCTGCCTGAAAGACGCTGTTGTGTTCCGTGAGGTTCCCCTTCGAGTGATATGTCTGTACAGATTTGGTGAGATGAACTTGGGCACTTAGTATATACCTGCATCAGATTTTGAGCCATTTGGTGAAAATGGCTGAGGTTGGCTCTGAATCAATCGCTGTGCTGTGTCAGCATAAGTTTGATGCATTTTTCCTCTGTCTGTTGGGGCCCACCAGGGGCCGAGCGGTAAAGTCGCTGAACACTGATAGTTCGGTCCGAGATTTGAATCCCGCGAATGGGCTGGCTGCATGGGCGTTTTCGTGGTTTTCCCCATGTGTCACGTGTATACGAGCCAGTTTTCCTTAGAAAGTCCACTACGAAAGCATCCCTTCCCTTAGGCAGATAGCCCTAATATGCTTTGCCATAATTAAATAAACCAAACCAAAAACCTCTATCTGTTGGATGGGTGCGGAGTCCAATACATTGTAGGTAAACTCTGTCGGTGCAAATCTAGAGCCATAGTAGGTAATTTCCTACTGCAAGTGGAATAACTTCGCTAACACTGCTTCTTGCTCAACGCAGATATGGAGGGAAAGCAGGCCGGCTAACGCTAGAACGTTGAGTGCATCTGTAGAAGTTGTTCGGAAGGCTCTGGTTATAGTAAGAATATGCATTTTTTTTTTTTTTTTTTTTTTTTTTTTTTTTACTTTTTCAGTCCATCATAACTAATTAGTTTTTCAGCAGTGTTTTGAGCAGAAATAATTCTAAGATCTCTTTGTTTTAAATGATTTTCTACACACACATATATATATTGGAAAAGAAAGCCAATAAGTGCTGTGTTGTAAGACCTGTTTGGTCTTAAAAAAATATATATATATACAATTTTTTAAAAAACAAAATATAATCATGCCTAGTATTTTCGGGCTTATAGCTGCTGAAAATTTATCAGTAAAGATATAAAGTAAGAAAGTTTTTTTCTATAAACTGTGCTAAAAATATATGCATGTATTTATTTATATTTGCATAGTGCGGCCCACCGGAATAAAATGCATTTACAAAGCGGTCTACAAAGTTTGGTTCAGACAATCCTGATGTGATTTATTCCCATCTGTAATCTTAGTGTTTTCTGTATTTTTTATATTTTATCTCAAAAGTAAATATTTTAAGGTTGCTCGTCTAATCATTATTTGGGAAGAAATTCTGGTTCCTGTGAGAAAACTATATAAATCTGAGTTGTCCATAAAATTCTTACAATGGTATATTGTGATAGAATTTACATCAGGCTTTCAAAATAATTTCAGTATTTTATTAACTACTATAGATTTCTGATGTATAGAATTATAATATGTTTTGGAAAAATGTCTGAAAATGAGAAATAGTTACTCATCAGATTCAAGTAGTAAAGCATTAGAATAAAATAAAAAAATTCTTAACCACAAGATTCATGCAGATAATGAGCAACTTAGATAATTCATTAGCACTACTTAACATTTATACTCTGTATGCACATGTTGTATACTATTTACAAAACAAACTACCGTACATGATTAAATTGTTACCTATTTTCCAATTATGTCTTACTATTTCTTCCAAATATTATGCTTCTCGTACAGTAACCGTAAATAATTACAGGCTTTCCGGTAATGCTAAATCTCGTTAATTTTTTTTACTTATCGTTAACGACGAAAGCAATGTAAAATAGAATGGAATACAAGAGAAGACGCAGATATTTTTGTTCTATTTCTCTTTCCTTAGTAGAAGCACGTGTCTGCAATTAAAGACGATTAAAGCGAAAATTTAATTATATTCCGTTAATAGCGATGCGCTAATGCTTCGTAGAAATTCTATCCTGTATCTAGAACTGTTTGAGCAGAAACACCGCGAGGCGTAGGTAATTAATCTCGGACCATACATATATGCTGCTTGGTGTGTTATTTCAGTGGATGGAGAAAAGGATGCCGTATTTCTCATACTCCTGCTATATTAGATGCTTACCTAAGGATAAAACGTGAGTTTGATTGCAAGATAAAACTATGTGGAAGATTTAATTATGGTTTGGGGTAGGGTAAAAATTAATGAGTTATTTAACAAACAATAAAGACTGCATAAACAGTGATGTCACATTTCTTGTACAAGGAGCAAGAATAAATTTGCTTCCCACTCATTTATTTATCTGCTAGTATTAGTATTTTTATTTTTCTTTCCTTATTGTAAAGCGGCTTAAATTCAATTACAGACTTAACTGTTTGATAACATCTCAGGAATTCGTTTTCTGAATGGGTGTTCCTTTACAAATGACAGCCATGTTTTCTTTTTTTCTTTATAATGTAAAGATAGTGAATTAATAAAGCAGCTTTTAATAAAAAAACTTATTTGTAACATATTGATCGAATAATAAATTAATTCAGCAAGTAATATGGGAAAATTAAAATGACTTCCTTTGTAGGAAGAAAGCACTTATTAAAGTAAGTAAATGTTTATTGCAGTGGTAAGTATGATACAAAGATTAGTAAACATTGAAAAAAAAAAGTCTGTTGTCGCCAGTACTTTACCCGCGACAGTTCTATTTTGCAGGAATAGCAATGAGCTTTAGGTAAACTATTACCTTTGGGTTATCGTTGTAAATAAAATATATTTTGCTTATAAACTTTATGGCTCAATATTAATTATAAGTGCTAGTCATTTTTTTATTATTATGTTCTTCCATACAATTGACAATTATAAATATACGTACCTAGCATGTACCCTTTCATTCTCATGCCTTGATCTGAAAATATCGCATCGAGAAGTATATCCTCTGGTCTTACAGTGTTTTGGATACATAAATGAATGACTTATCAATCACAGAATTTTTAAACCAACATATATGTTTAGAATTCTCGATATGGCATTAAATGTTACCACACATTTCTTTTCATATTCGCTACATTACTTACATTTGCTATATTATTTTTGTACGAAAGATAACTAGATAAGATAATGATAGTAGCATCCTCTTATTTGAAAAGTGATTCGACACTAGAATGAAACGAACACAAAATTGAGTACTGAGGCTACTACATTTATTTAATTGCTTCATAGTGAGAGCTTTTATTCTTTTTTTCGTTACATTCCGCAAGATTCTAAGAATACATTTAATGCTTATAAATGTAATACGTAATTCTGTCCCGTGCCTCTTTTAAATACCGAATTTGAGACGTTTCGGATTTTTTTTACGAAACTCTATACAAAGCTTCAAGTAAAGTATCACTTTATCAATTCCAGACGAAATCTAATACGTTGCTCCCATTGATAAAGTGTTAAATACTAATATCGGAAAGTTTTGGATCATATTTTAATATTGTTTTTCATTAAAAACTGTTATGGGCTCCATGTAAAAAGCCACTTCCGATTGTCGACTTTTACCTTAAATCTAATCAAGTCTTTATATGAATGTATACTAAATACGGAAAATATAATTTTTTTAGATGTCATAAAAAAGTTATTGTGGACGAAGAAATCGTCACTAATATACAAACACACAAGACAGATAGACATAATTGTAAAAATTGTCAAAACGTGTTCTGGTGGCACTAATTCTCATTTATTTACTGAAAACTTACTTCAGAAGTTTTAGGCCAAGAATGCTTTTTTTAGTTATGTATACGAGTTGATGAGAAATAGGAACTGCATTCAGGGTATTCACCTTGCAGAGTAACGCGATTAGGCCAGAAATGCATAAAACCACAGGAACGTGGGAATTTATTGTGCACACTTCTTTAAAATTACAAGTATTATATCAACCAGAGAGAGAGAATATTTTTTTAAAAGAACGCAAAATACCTCAAAATAAAGATAAATTTTGCAGCCGTTGTTATTACTGAGCTTTTCTTGAGGATATGCTGAGACATATGGACAGCAGAAATAGCAATTTTACAACAAGACTATATGATGCATTCAATCGGATGCCATCATCTTTCAAATTTGCCAGTAACACTGAGCGATCTCAGCATACTCATGACTTGGAGAAGCCTCATAACCGAAATTCATAGGGTTTCGGGTCTAAAGATATGGACGGAAGGTGATTGCTTATCAAAGGTAAAGAGTGAGAACTATTTATATCAGAACCGGTACGGAGTGTGTGAGGCACCTTCGTATGTGCGTATGTCTACTAATATACAGCCTTTCTCAAACTTTATCCAAGTGGGGACCACGTCTAAAATTAGAATATTCTGCGGAACACCTTACTGTTGTCCCCTATGAAAGCAACTTTTTAATATAGATTACTATTAGTATACTTATATTTTTAAAATACAGTTAATTAAAATTCATTAAATTTCGTACTGGCATGAAGTTTACAGAAAAGAGTTTATACTCGTTTCTAATAATTCAAGGTTATAAAATTTTGGATAATTGTATCTTACTAACTAAAAATTAAATGAATGAATTCACTTTAATCAGACGAATGAGCTTGCGAATTCTGGCACAGGTTTTCCATGCTTCGATGTTTACTGCTAAGTTTAAGTCTTATATCTACACATACATCAAATATTTAAGTACTTTATTTTTATTTAAGTTAGTGATGAACGTCCTTCCATACACAGATATATAGAAGTAAAATAAATTATAATTTCTAAACGATTCAGTTCATTATATTCAGTTTTCGCTGGTAATGAGGTCCAGAAAGGAACCATACTTTTTTCTTAGTACTTTATTTTAAGTTCGATGTCATTCGAGATTTCAGTGAACTGCTTCTTTTTATTCAATGACGGTTTGTTATTTTCAGTATCGTCGTGGAATGAATGTTAACTATTTTCGATATTTACGTATTATTCCGTTGGCCCTGAAATTATGCTACCATCGAACCATGAAAGGTGTAGGAGATCCAGTCAAAAGTCACTCCAATCGTTCTGCAGCATTATTAGCCGCATTTTTATCTGGAACTCTTACAATAAAATATTCGCCATTCTCTCTACATAAACCGCCAAACAACCACTGCTGGGGAAGTATTCAAACCGCTTCATTTTTGCGCTTCTTTAAAAGGTTTTCATCGATTTCTGCTATTTCATTAGGACTTCCGATTTCAACGGAAGCTCGGTTTGTTGCGGTCTGAATATAGATCTCTCGCAGATGATTGTTCCAATCTATTAGTGTTTTGTCGGCCATATACAGGCTGTTCTTTTCGATAGATGTGCAACAGGTGTTAATTATCGCCCACCGCCTTTTAGATCAAGAGTCACTTGCGGTCACTTTAGTCACGTCTTTTAGAATATTTTTAAGCGAAAAGTGAGAAACTCAGCTATGCCTTCGCTAAGCCTAGCCGGATGTGCTTACAGTTACATAACGAAGGCAGACGCAATAAGGAAGGGGGAAAGTCCTTATATTCTCAGCCACTTAAAGAACAATTGGAGAGGACTGAATCTAGTCGCAAAATCCAGATAGTAACGAATTTATCGTCCAGCACATTTTTAGTCGGCTGCCACTTACAATGTCTAGTCCTTTTAGACTTATTTTGAACAGGAAGCGTGAGAAATCAGCGATGTCCTTACGAGGATTCGAACTCTGAACCTCCCACGTGCTATCGGTCACACCACGAAAGACGCGTGAGGAAGGAAATAATTTCTCACATTCTTTCCCACTTAAAGGCGACTGGGATGAAAGGGATCCAGATGCTGACAAATGAATTATCGTGCACCACATTTTAGCTCATTACTTGTAGAGTCATTGGATTTATTTTAGAGCAGGGAACAGGAAAAATCATTATTATTAACATGAATTTTTTCCTATTTCCTTCGTTTATTAGAGACAATTTCCTAGCCGGGATTCGAATTCCGGATCTTCCAGTTCTGCTGGGATATGTTACCAATTACACCACGAAGGCACGAAGTAGAGAAAGAGAAATAGTTAAAAACAGTAAGCAGCGATTTAACGTCACAAAATTTTCTCATTATATCTCATTATATCAGTTTTGGTACAGTTTAACATTATTTAATTGAAGAAGCGTTACTTAAGTAACGCTTCTTCAATTACAGATTTGTTACAATTTATTACAATTACAATTTATTACAGATTTGTGAAACACTTTTGAGCTGATTTCGTACACTTTAGTAAACACGGTAATAAGATCACTGTGATATTTTATTACGAAAATGCTTCTTATATTGCTTTTAAAATTTATGTCATTTTCGAATTTTCGTTCAATGAAATTAAATTATTTCATAGTTTTATAGAAGTATAACTATAATTTCTCATTTCGAAAAATAGCATATATCGAACTTCCATTATATCTCACAATTATCAATAAGTTACTAGTAATGCTAGCTAAACACTTCAATAATTTATTTTCTTTTATTCGTTAAAAAAATTTTTCCTAAATGCACAGAAAGAACCTTTTAGAAACCAAATCCACTGTTATCCATTTTGTCTGAGGGCAGCTGTGGGGCTTGCATAGAATTTGCATGCAAAATGTTTTCTTGAACAAATACATAGGAGCTAGAAACCCAAAAGTTAGATTATTTTGTATCCTAGAAATCTGAAATCCATAGATTACACGCCCTTCCACCCAAGAAAGAGAATTCGATTCAATGTTTTTCTCAGCGCAAATGCATGCAATTTAACTTTGCTTATTCAGCTAAGAATAAGCAAAGTTGAATTGATTAAAATTAAATGAAACGTAAGTAATTTCACTCTGTTATTTAACATTGTTTATTAGTGACAATTTTTTTTTAGCTACCAAGACAACTCAAATTTTTACGTCGTAATGTGGAAGAAAAGCACTCAGACATACTGGCAAGCAACTCCTTTCCGGGCAGTAGCTGAACCTGGAATTCAGTTGAAACTGGTCACATCCGAAACTGGCCCTGGTCAAATGTTAAGAAATTCTCTTTGGCACACCGGCGATACAGACAAACAGGTAAGATTGTTACATTCTATGAGATAGAATTGAAAGTATCTTTATAATTAGTCTTATGATAGTTTTTGCTCAAACCGATACAGTTTCGAGACAATACTCACAACAGGAAATAAAATCCACTAGGATAAGTAACTATTATTGAAAAACCTAAATAAAGAACAATAACAACAGAAAACATCAGTTATTAAGCAACAGTAAATATGCCAATTAATAACTCAAGTGAGCAAATCGTATGATAAAGAAGCTTAGTATTTATCACTAGTGTGAACTTTCTTTAAAAATTCTTTGTTATTGTTAAATGGCATCAAAAATTTCGCTGCAATTTTACATTCACTGTTAATTTTCAGCTTTCTAAGGCTTTTACTGTTTATTCAGTTCTTCTACCTCTTTCTTCAGTCCGTATGATATTGACTATTGAAAATACTCTTCCGACTGGTGCTGATGTTCCTGGCATGCTCAAAATGTATTTTGTTATTTGAGCAAGATTGTGTAATGAAATATTTTTCTCTTTTAAATTACTTCAAAATTGTTCCCATTTTTCTTCACAAACTTTATTTTTCCAAATTTCATAATTTAGTGACCAAAAAACCTTTTGCAATAACTACTTCATCCAAAAGTTGATCCAAGTTTATTGTATTATTTGCGACAGTTTCATTTATAGTTTTCATCTGAAGCTTCAGTTTCAGACCATGTTAATTCACTATTGCAGAAGTTCTCAACCAGTGGTACGCAAGAGAAAAAAAAATAGGTGGAACTCAAAGAAGTAAAGTATTTGTAACTATTAATTTCAAAAATTAAAACCCCAACGTCCTGATTGCGTTTTTTCTCTAACGTTTCTCTGCGTTTTTTCTAAATTTATGCGATCTGAGCTTTGTTCAAGAGTGGTGGGGGTAGTAGTACTTTGTAGTGGTGGTACTAAAGTTTTTCAATTTTTGTTTAGATGGCACGCGTTAGTCAAAAGGTTGAGAACCGCTTCATTCTAGTTTAATCTCCCCCCCCCCAAAAAAAAGAAAATTTTTGCTTCACCAAAACGTTTTTCCCCATAGTTCAATGTAAAGAAAACATCTAGACGACATTAAAAGCACTTAGATGCAAAATATGTAAACTGGGAACTGTACGTGTAACATAGGGAATATTTTAATTGCAAAATCGTCTTTTCACACGAGGCTGCACTGTTTTTGCTTCTTTATATTCGTCACTTTTAAAATTTTGCCAAACAACCGAGAAAACATGTCAAACTGGACGCAGGGCAACATTATCGAACCGAGATAGTCCCGGTTAAAACCGGGAAGTCTACTTATAATGCAATTACTTTGTAATCTCCCTGTTTCAATGGCAGGAAGGTGAAATTGAGTCGAAAATTATAGTTGCATACTTTACAGTATTTCTTAAGTTCAAAGGTAGATGCATTAAAGTACTTAATTGATTATTAATTAAGTAAAATGATGAGGAGTGGGAGACTCTTGGATCCTTCGAAGGGGTGTTGTCCCCCTTAACTGCGACGGAACTGAGCAAAGTCTTACTTTCAACTATATGGTGTTCAAAGCTGATGCCAACAACATGCCAGTCTTACAGTCCTTGCCATGATAAACTTCGTGGGCTTTTCTGATTAGACTAGACAATTGATATTTGCTACGACAACAATAGACAGCTGTTTAATTTTGGATTCTAAGTGGTGCATCAAAAATTTCTTTCGAATTTTTGTTTTGATTTGCAAAAGCTCTAGAAGCTAGCATGGCATTTCAGCGTTCTACGGAATATAGAAGACTAATGACTTAATTATCCTAGTTTTAAAAATTACAATTCTGCAAAGTCATAAATTATGCAGCATTATCTTGTTAAAAGTGAGTAATGTTCTTTAACTTTGTAATGCTTTCTTTCATTGCAATATTTAATAATAAAAATTAAATTCCAAGGATCGTTGCTGATAAATAAAAAATGAATTTTTAAGGTTGTTATTAATAAAATATCATTGAAAACATATAATAAAGTTATAAAAATATATTACCTGAAAACTCTTAAGTAACCGAAATGATTCAGATGTTAAAATGCTATGTAAATTACTTTCTTCGTTTAGTATATATCAACATATGTTCCGTTTGCCTTGAAAGGCATCAGAATGTGTATCCAATCTTGTTCTAAATTAGCTGAATAATTAAGTTACAGAGCAGTGGCTGCTGCAATTCTGTATTGTAAGATGCATTTTTCACTGTATGCATCTTTCTTTCCTTACTACGAAAGCAAGGAATTCAAGTCCAACCGTTGTACAATCATGCATCCCAGGAAATCGAAATTTCTTAGCAGCGCAGAACTCAATTTTCTCGATCCAGACACTCGGAAATTTCCCACTCAGATCTTTACTCCGTATCCATCAAATCTTTCGCCATTTCAATCATATTTATATACTCAGCTGTTTGTGAGAAATTTGTTTTTATACTTCTAGCATTATTTTTCTTTGATCCTAGACTATAATAAAATTTACTACCGATGAAAGAATGATGGAATTATTTTGACTCAGGGTGATAATGTCATAATGAATCATTGCATTTTCCTCATCTATGTGTCGAATTGTTATAATCATCGTGTCTAGCTAGCAAATTGTAAGATCAGTGGGGAGGATCAGGAAGGGCACCTTTGTTTTTTCACGTTCCTAGCTTTGAAAGTGTATTAAATGCCCTATATTGCTGTTTTTTAAGAATCTATTTGTTGTAATTAGGATATATCTTTTTTTTTTTTTTTTTTTTTTTGATGTTGTATTAATTATTACTGCAGCTTACTTTCTACCATTTCGCTACTTTTCGCAGAAATGTTTGCTGAATTTATTCTAATAAATTTCAGAAGTAATAGATTTAGCTTAACAATGCCAGCAAGAAATACCCATCATAAAAGTCATAAGGATATTTGTGGATCGTGAAAGCACTCTAAGCTTAATGTAGGCTTCCTGCGGGCAATGAAAGCACAGTAACCGTAAAATGTTCCTAATGTGTAGTTATGAATCGCATCTCAGACTAGATCAATTACTTGGCCTTAATCACAAAGCATATTAAAGCTGTAATTCATTCATGAGACTCATCATTGTTCCATATTTCAAAAGAATCTCCCAACATTAGACTGAAAAAAGGTTCCATAAAAAACTCATTTGCGTCATGCTTGCTTTTTATCATTAAGAAAATATCCTGGATACTAAAACTTCGAAAGGAATTCGATTACTTTTAATCGCCTTCGGAACGTTAGATTCCAGGAAATTTTCGAACAAAGCGGGTGGAGGACGAGAGGCAAATGCTTAATTAGCTTTTTTTATGATGAGATTTAATTAATCTGCTATACAGCCTCTTCCTTTATTATAGTCCCTTTAGGAGAGGGAAGGTCGGAAAGTTTCAGTATTATGCTACATTGCTAATATCCCGCAGGATATCTAAATCTAGACTAATTTTTTATAAATTAGTCAATTTACAGAAAAGTCGAAAAGGCAACGAAACATTATTATGAGACTTTGATTGAAGTAACAGATGAAATCTTATTTAAGCTTCAAGCGCGTTTATATAACACGCATAATATAGGTAGGTGGCCTTAGTATGTTCCCATTCAAAAGTCATCTTATATTTTAAAACACATGAAGAGTACATGCCATGCAAAATGTTATACGCCATGTTAATAAATGCATTTGTGTTTGAAGCCCTAAAATTCCATGAGAACTGCCAAGGTGATGAATGAAGGCTGCTTCCAGGCCAAAGGAGGTAGTAGATTTGAGCCTCGAGTTATCACAGGTGTTTGCGACTGCAAAATCTTTACAAAATAAAGAAACTTTGAATTAGTTACATGAAGAAGACGAAAAGGAGGTTGACGGTACAGAAAGAGGAATACGAGTCTTCAATTTCTATTTCTACTCACCTATGTATTGTTCTCAATTAGTATTGGGTGAGAAGTGACAAGATCGTATTGTTACCAATGCTTAAGATGTTGGCCAATGATAGCTACAAATGCGTCCACAAATGATCATTCGTGAGCTTTTTAGCTAATGCTAGGAGTCTAAACAAGCAATCCCATCACGAAAATCGGAAAAGATAATAAGCAATGAAAGATGTCCGCAAATACACATACTTTCCATAACAGATATCATGAATGAGAAATGTTTCTTAAGTGCCGAATATTTTTCTTTAAGTAAATAACGAGAATAAGACACTGATCAGCCAAAACATTATGAGCAGTCTATTTTTACTTTTTTAATTATGTTCTTATTCGCGCATACGAATAAAAGCATGTTTAACTAAAAACATTTAACAACACAGTAAAATTTTAAGATTTTCTAACGTTAATCAAACATGTTTTACTGAAGAACGTTAACAACAGAATAAAATTTAAGGACATTCAAATATATTTTTCTTTATTTATAGGTGAAATTACTATGGAAAGATCCTAGAAATGTGGGTTGGAAAGAGAAAGTGGCATACCGTTGGCTGCTTTTGCACAGACCACAGATAGGTCTAATAAGGTAAATAAATCATCCAAAACAATCACTGATTTGTAATAACGGCAGAGTTTAAATAAATATTATTGAATAAATATTTAAGCACTTTAAAAATTAACCTAGCTTTAATTGTATATGCATTTCTTTCCTTAGACTTCGTATTTTTGAAGGCGAAAATATGGTTGCTGATTCTGGAAACATATTTGACAACAAGCTTAAAGGTGGAAGGCTGGGTGTATTCTGCTTCTCACAAGAGTCAATTATCTGGTCAGATCTAGTCTACAGATGTAACGGTAAGTGGAATTACAGTTGTAAATTATGGGAAGACTTCATGACTTGTAATCAGTCATCTGGTAAATATATTATCAATGAGTAGTGCGAATTATTAAAACATGTCATCCGCGTGAATGAACTAAGATCCATCCAATTCAAATACAGACTGTTTCGCAAATCAATGGAAAGACTGTCACTTTCATGTTGTCACCTTCATATTTTGGTGTAAGATTAGTCAGGCTATTTTGAATAAATTATTCTCCGTTCAGGGATCCATTAATAACTGCTAAATTAAATTTTAGGAAATTGTTTGAAACGCTGGTGTTTGAAACTATTGATAGCAAATATACTGCATGTAGAGCGCTCCATTCTGCATTTCTGTTTTTAAAAATTGAACAGATCTAGTCTGACATACCGCAACAGAAAATAATAGCGATGAATATCGGAGCTTGAAAAGAAAGAAAAATTTTTATGTTCAACATTAAAGGAGGATAGGTTATTGGTGACGTGAAGAGAAATTGCTATTAAATATCGTACTAGATTATTAATACAGCAGCAGATGTATTTAAATTCGCATCTGTGGCTTCAGCGGCGGAAATGCGAAATATTGCATATTGCACAAACAACAAATGTCTGATGTATGAATACTTATACTGACGAAAGACACACACACACACACACACACGAAAAAAAAAAAAGAAAAAAAAAAAAAAAAAAAAAAAAAAAAAATCAGATTTTATATAACGCTCAATAGAGCCTTTTTTCACGTTTTAAGTGCTACATTTATTTATTAAATATCCATGTTCTTCAAACTTAAACCACATAAAATTCAATTCAACAGCAATATTACAAAATATTTAAAAACATCATATCTTTTGAATTTCCGATACACAGTCTCGCGTGCTGGAGATAAAATTTTTTGTTCCGTACAGTTTTGCCATAGCTCCTTTAAAATCGTTGAGTCTGTTAATCAAAAATTCGTGAAAGTTTTACAAAATTTGAAATAGATAATGAAACAAAATCAAAACTCGGGCTTCGCAGTGCCCATGTTCGATTGGAGGACTGCGTTATTCAAAATTTTATGACTCTATAGGTACCGTTGTTTGGGAACCGTTGTCAATAGGATAAATATTCATGCATTCATGCAGATTCTTCATTATTTAGATTTTTTTAAATATAATACATGGCGATAATATTTGGAGGCAACAGTTTGAAAAGTGAACCAACGCAGAAAGTGAAACGTCGCAAAATGCCGTTTTCAGACTAATAGCCGTTTGGGTCTAACCCCCTTTGGGAAAAAAAAAGAAAGAAAATAGCAACCCGTTAATCGAATATGAAAGATTTAAATTTAAAAAACAATATATAAAAGTACTACTATAATAGTCAGACTGATTATAGTAGTAGTTAGACTCATGGTTCAGTAGTATGATAGTAGTCAGACTCATGGTTATTCAACTAAATTTGGAGTAATCGTGAGAAAACTTACGTATTCTATAATTAATATTATAAAATTATGCAGTCTAAATTATTCAGTCTATAATTTTCATTACAGTTTAAGAACAGAATGCGCAAATCCAAGGCTTGATTTAAGCAAGGGCAGATGGAGCATGTGTTTCAGACCTCTACATCATTCCTATATCATTTAATATATATATATATCTATATCTATATATATTGTTACGAAATGTACAGGCGCGGTAAGATGGCTTCCCCGCAAAGCAGTTTTAGGGTTGCCACATTTGGCGAGAAATCGACCATTTGGTGACATTTGGCGACAAAATTGGTGATATACCATGAACGGTTGGAGAACCTTCTGGAACGAATTCTTACCGGTTCAGCCCAGAATGTTCCCGAACACAAGCCGAAAGCTATATAAACCCTGCTGGTCCGCAGTCAGTCAGTCAGTGTGTGCCTCATCCAGAGGGCGAGTCAGAGTGCCTCGTCTGGAGTGCGAGTTAGTATCGAGAGTGTGTGTGCCTCGTCTAGCGAGCTGATAGTCAGTCATTGAGTGAGTGTCTCGAAGTCTAGCGCCGGGTTGGTCGTCGAGTGCATCGCGTGGAGAATCTCGAGAGTACGTGGTGTTCCGAGAACGACCAAACAGAGTCGGAAGCTGTACTCTGGTGCTTTGCAGTGAAGCTGTCTCCACCGTTATTGCCTGACAGTGTGAAGGCTGCGTGGCTGATTGCTCCAGCGTGTTTATAGTAGATTTTCAACGACTGTAAAAAGTGTTTTTGGAGCTGTCCTGATTAATATTGGTTAAATAAAGTGTGTTTCGATACTTCATCAAGTGTCGTCGTTATTCACTCCAAATCCATACGAACCCCGTACGAACGTAACAACTGTTGTCAGAAGAAAGAAAAAAAACGCAACAATATCTTCCTATATCATTTAAAATATGCAAAATATTATGTATTTTTTTCAATTCCAGATTTGAAAGGTAAAAATGTAATAAAAAAATTTTAAACTTTTATTTCAGCTTTTTATGACTTTCTTCAAGAATGGACTGTTGTCTCGCTAACTTAAATCTTTAAATTAACCTTAAAGATTAACTTAAAGTGTTAGTTAAGATAACTTTAAAGATAAAAAGTGCTATCTTCAAAAACAGGAATTTTGTTCAAAATATATTAGTTTATATTTTATGCATCACATTGAGTACTAAAACCGTGGAAACGAAAGCTACAAACAGCTGAAATATATTTTTTGTTCAAATAATTTTAAATGAATATATATTGAAATTTTACATGAAATACTTTTTATAATTCGCATACCTATTGTACCATTGATAATACGTATTGTATAGGGGAAAAAATAGAGGGGCTTAATAATACCCCAGCAATTCTATTTTGTTAATCGGTCTCTGCTAAGCTTCATACTTTCGAAAATCTAACCTACAAACTCTCAAAAATGTATTCTGCACTAAGTTAACCAATTTTTTAACAATAAAATTATAATAATAATAAACATGGAACAAAATAAACTTGCTTTCTTGTATAAAATTGTGCTATATTCTTATTATTAGCCAAATATAATAGTTATAATTAAACTAGATTAATTTCAAAGTATTCGCTTGCTTTGTTAAAGGAATTTTGAATTTTATTTTATTTTAAACTAATTTATGAATCTATGCACGTCATTTTTCAGAGTTGCTTAATCTTATTATTAGGAGTTGGTTCAATTTATTTTTGCTGAAATTTTACTTTAATGTGTTTCCTTAGTACAGCGGGATTATCTTTCCTTACATCTTTATCTGAAACGTTGCTTTTGTGTAAATGTTAGAGAATATTAATCCCATAAATAAATTAAAATTTAAGCTTTGAGTTAGAATTCCAATAACATTAAATGTAATAGTATGCTCTATAAAGATGTTACACAGCTGTGTGCGCATATGTGCAGTATGCTTTAGCCGATGAACCTGATAAAGTTTTAAGTCGAACAATACAATACTATTCTAAGTCCGTGAAACATTTTATAAAACTCAAATCAAATAACTTATGCAATCGATACCAAATTTTATCACACTAAAATTCAGGTAAACTCGTTAAGTTCTTTTTTTTTTTTTATATATATTCCATAAACACTAGTATTGTTAGTACGGTAGCTTGTTGCTAGTAATGTGTCCATCCTTGCTAGTACGGTAGATAATACGCCATTGCAGGATTTACTTGGACATGATGACAAGGTGTTTGATGGCATAATGAAAGCAATGTGTTTATCTATTCCAATCAAACAGCTATCCAATTTGGTTTCAGAAAGATCATTTGCGAATACATCTGCCAAAAATCTGGCTCAAAGAGTTCATTTTCAAGGTCACTTTAATTATAATTTGCCACTAAGGGTGAATATGACTTGCAGGACAATGACATGGCTCGATAATGTGGTAACCACCACAATCTCTTTATTTCATACCATTTGGTCTTTTTTTGGGGGGGATGGAGGAAGGGGGCTGTCTTTTAACTTCTCCCGATGCTAATATCCAGATCTTCGCAACTGTATTACAGACGCTTTGGCTCTGGTCGATCATTAAACACTGGCGGACTTGTGGACCATTTATTTCGTACATACCGCTGTATCAGCAAAGGCAGGCACACTGATCACTTCGGGGGGGAAAAGGCTTGATGATTACATATTTTTTCATGGACTAAAATTTGATATTAGCTGCTTAGTAAATATGTTAGAATTTTTTTTTTAAGTTTTCACAAGATTTAGAATCACTTGTATATTCATATTTTGAGAATTTTGCTTCAAATTCTCAAAATACGAATGCATAAATTATTCAAAATATTCAGGTTATTCAAATTATTCAAAACTCAGTTTTAAAATGTCATATTCAAGTTTAATAGTTAAAAAAATTAAAAAACAGATTATTTCCCTATATTTTTTAAATGTTCTTTGTATGTGTATGACCCACTCAATCCTGGATAAGACCGCTGAACACTGGCAGTTTAGTTCGGTTATTCAAAATTGGATGGCTCTAGGTGCGATTGTTTTATCACAATGCAAGAAACATACATACATTTATGCAGATTCTTCATTATTTAATTTCGTCAAATATAATACAGGGCGATAGTATTTGGTGGCAACTATTTGAAAAGTTATAAGGTATTTTTCCCGCTTTACTAGCGTGCCTTCGGTGTAGTTGTTCTGCACGATGAGCCGGTATTCCAGAGGTCCGTGGTTCGATTCCCGGCGAAGGAGTTGTTAATTTTTCATCTTTCCTGTTTTCCAAAAATTCGTAATGTCTCTACAGTGGCATCCGAACTAAAAAGGGTGTTGGATGAGGTTTCTCCACACCCAGGATTTGGCGACTGAGTCACCTAAAAACCCCAGTCGCCCTTTAAAAAGGGGAGTATATAAGGTATTTCTCCCGCTTTACTAGCGTGCCTTCGTGATGTAATGGTTCTGCACGCTGGGCCGGTATTTCCAGAGGTCCGTGGTTCGATTCCCGGCGAAGGAGTTCTTAATCTTTCATCTTTCTTGCTTTCCAAAAATACGTAATGTCTCTACAATGTGATGCAGTCTT